GGGGGGGGGGGGGGGGGGATAGAGCGGTGTTGCCTTTGGAATCGTTGACCTTGCTGGATAAGTAAGTGGCCAATGTACGCGGTCCGCGAGGAGATGTTCTCAAGTGGTGGACTCCAAGACTTCCCAATGGACGACTAGCTGGTCAAGTTTCGATTTACATAAAGTTGGTGGAGTGAGCTGTCTTCTTGGGCTGGTTAGTCCGTCTTGGCCCTCTATATCACAGGAGGCTATATTTTGCTAGCAGGGGCCGAGTGCCCGATGCGAATATCCGAGTATTCCTGCCAAGGGTAATTTAAAGTCGACCAAGCCAGAACTTGGCATTCTTAAGCGAAGCTGTTGATATGAACGAGATTGGAGGCCATGAGGGCCATGTCGACTATGTGATAGCAACTGGCGGGGCGTAGCAGAAGGCAGTTAAAAACATTTGATGTCATACTTGATAGTCGGCAATGATTCACTCCGATGGGCGGATACGATACCGAGGGCAAAGACACTCGGCTCCCACTTTGGTTTCCTATTCGACGCAACATCGGTCCCGAATTGCCTCCTAGGGCAGTAGTAGTGGCGAGTGTCGATCCCGCAACCGGCGTCGAGCGAATTCTTTACGTAACTTGTGACGTATTGTTTGCTTGTGCTCCACTAGCCCAGGACAATCATCCCATCGTCCATGCTAAGCATGGCAGTAAGCATGATAGATGTGTGAGTTGTCTAAACTTTAAAAGTTTATCAAGACTTGCTGGCAATCACCGGCTTTGGTACGCATTGTAGTGCGTTGTTGTCTCTCTAATAAAGTAGCTGGGGTTTATTCTTAGTTGGCAGTAACGGTCATGTTCCTCGTGCGCTCGCTTAATTCTTTTTTACCGAAATTGGTTTTCTTCTCGATTATTCGGTTGCCCAGACAAAAAGTCTGACCACATAGCCACAACCGAGTTCTACAAAGACATGTGATAGTGCAACCAACTGCGAATTGCTGGGCTCCCCTGGTACTTGGCATGGAGAAAACTCGCTTGCCGATGGCAAAAAAGGTGTTTGTGTCTCAAGGCTATCATGTAAAAAGTTGTGCTCAATGTCTGGTACGCCCGACTTGGCGTTTCTCCACCACTCAATTAACTGGCTTGGCAACACACGGCGTGATCTTATCAGATCATCTTGGTCCAATGAGCTCGGTTCCAGGATACGAGGGCCTTGTGGCACATGCATGGTTTTCTTGATCCACAGATTCCACACTGCCCAAGGCTTGTGGTTTGCCTCGGAGAAAGTATCAAGCTCGGGGGTGGCTGGAGCAGAGGCAACGGCCGAGTCGTAGCTCCAGCAGTTTTCCTTGTTTTGCCTATAAAAAGGGAAACGGAATCCAGTTGACGCCGTACGCTTGGTTCCGTGTTCAACAAGAAAAATTCTAGCCAGGTGGACTTGAACGCGCTTGCCCGACTTGCATCATGAAGGGCTTCACACAACTTGCGCTGCTCGCGGCATCGGCCACGCTGGGCCAGGCTGCTTTCCGAGAGGGCTGTGCCGACGCGCCCTGGGACTCGGATACTGACTTCTTCCTGACAAAGTTTGAGAAGGGTCCTAGCAATCCATTCTTCGCCCAATACAACAAGACATACGTGACCATTAGGAACCGTCAGCACCGATATGTCGTTCTGTATTGCAGCAAGGACCCGCCTCCAACCTCCATCGTCGGAGAATCGGCCTTGGTCATCAAGGCCCCCGTCAAGAATGTAGCTGCGCTGGATGGATTTTCGCAGAATCTAATCGAGGTTGGCAAAACAATGGTCCATCTGCACCCTGGGACGAAATGCTGACTACCCAATCCAGATGCTCGGCATGTCCACAAGCATCAAGCGCACTGGTGTTTATTCCGACGTTACCAGCTCATGTATTCGCGGCAATATGAAGGACAACATTACCTTTGATGACGACGAGTGGGACAAGGCCCCGGAAGTCGATGTTACTTTCTACGGCGACACGGCCAAGCCCGACAGCAAGAAGGTCCTCATCTACAACGTGGGTAACTACGCGCCACTTGCTCAGCTCGGCTACATCAAATTCGTCTCCATGTTCTTCGGCATGGAGGAGCTCGGCCAGAAGATTTACGATGAGATTGCCGCCAACTACCGCTGTGCGGCTGCCCAGGTCCAGCAGGCCATCGAGGACGGCACGTACCCTACGGGCGCCTTCATCTCCCCCATCCGCAAGGACGGGGACAAGTTTACCGTTTTCCAGAGCCCTTGGTGGAGCACTATTCTCTCGGATGCCGGGTCGGCACTCGTCAACGTCTCGGCCGACGGCGAGGCGTCCGGGAAGGGAAACCCGACCAAGCCAGAACTCGTCACCATCGACGCCAACAGCCAAGGAAACAACTTCGCAGAGAAGAGCTGGGCCATCATTGACACGACCCAGTACGATCAGCTTCCCGGCAAGTCAGCCCCCAAGACTCTGCCAGAGTCTACCCGTATCACGGCAGACACCTACACGTCGAGATCGGGCGCCTCGAGCGCCTCCTACGCAGTCAAGAACAACAACGTCTGGCTCACGGACAAGGCTGCAAACCGCAATCGCCGTCACAGTGAGTCCCTTGTGCTTAAATATCCGTTTCTGCGGCCAATTTCTCCAATCTGCTCGAGTCGTTGCTGACCATGTTCTCCCTCCCTTTGCCGCAGACTTCTTTGACCGCGGCAGCGCGCGCCCGGATCAGGTCATCCGTGATATTATTTCAATTGTGTCGCCGTCATTCCTGCCGGAATATACAAATATGTTTATTCGCAGCGTCTCCAAGCCAGATGACATGATTGCCCTCAGGCGATTCACCCACACTTGTGCCCAGAAGGGCAAGGAGCTGGAGACTTTGAACTTGACCAAGTGCGACGCCCCGGCCTGGCTCACTGGGTACCATGACTCTGGCCTGAAGCCAAACGCATATCGCTCTGTTGACCAGGCTGATTCTCTTGCTCTCCGCGCTAGCAGCAGCGGACTCAGCGGCGGCCAGAAGGCCGGCATTGCCGTTGGCTCCGTCGTTGGGTTCCTTCTCATTGCGGCCGCAGCGGGTTTCGGTATCTACAAGTGCCGCCGCTCTCGTGCCGACGATAAGAATGCCAAGAAGCGCGAGATGGACCAGGTTGAAAAGGGATCTGTATCGAGCAGATCCACCCATAAGTAGAACTGTGAAGTTGACATGTGCAGACCAGAGGGCAAATCACGAGGTCTCTTCGTGTGGCGTGGAACGAAGTAGAGAGACTAGAGTAGAGCATACGAAGATATGAATAGTACCATCATTGACCGGTCTCGTCGTGCTGCCATCTAACCTGCATTGCGTGTCCGGCATTGAAACGCATAACCACAAGATCTTATATCTCGCTTAATGTCAAATGACTTTGATCCTAGGCAAGTCTGCGTCTTTCTCCTTCGTGCCTGATCACAGTTCCCGAAGCCAGAATGTGACCGCTTGCTATGAACAGGACAGCACCGAAGAAGCACCATTCCCCGCGGCCAAATCCTCTGCCAATAGTAACCTATGGACTTTTGCATCAATGTCGCACTCAGATGAAGTTGGAAAGCACAAGTCCTAGCCTTTGAACTATCCGTAATTTGCGAGCGATCAGTGCTATATCCATAACACTAGCTTCTTGAAATGAGGTTTGAGCCTCTGTAAAAGGGGTTTTCCTAGGTCATTCAACTATTAAAAAGGCCTCAATTCCCTCAATAGTTGGCTTCAATCAAGGACCAGTCCACTAATCAATTCAATCCATAGCTGCTAAATCGGGACAGTTATAACCTGGTTTACATAACTACTGCATTTTTTACCTCTTTTAATTACTTCACATTTAAGATCTCTAATTAAGGCCTTCAAGTTAGCTGTTATAGATATCAAAAGTCTTTCCCAGGCTACCCTTACAGGCTGGGTTCTAGTGACCGGTATTAGTGGATTTTTATTACCGGGACATACGCTACTTGCTGCTATCGGTGCAGGATTGCTCACTACTTTTGGGGTTGACACTTCGTAGGGCAAGTGGATCGGTTACCAGATCTTGTATGGCTTCAGTCTCGGTCTCGCATCGCAGGCTCCGAATATAGCGGCATAGATAGTGTTGCCCAAGCAAGACGTGGCTATTGGCGCCTCACTCATGTTCTTTGCGTCTGTTCCACGCTTTTTTGGGGATTAAATATAATTATTATTCGCTAAAGTTTTACCTTAAGAAGGTTAACCGGGGCACCTGGGCTTACATTGACCCAAAACAGCCCGAAAAGCTAGCTGTTGAACAACCAAAAAAGCCCAAGCCTAGCGATGTTGGTCCGGAGGCTGTAGATATTACAGACCTTGACGAGGGACGACCCAGAGTTGAAATATCTCAAAACCGACCATCGGCTAGACCTTCAAACCTACCGAGGGCAGCAGAAGGCCCTTCCAGTCATCCAGTAATCCATAGTCAAATCTATCGGCAATCGGCAATTACTACGATACGATAGCTACGGACGGCATTCCAAGGCAGCTAGAGCTATTACAAGCCCGGCTGCAGCCCACATCTTGGGAGCTAGAACAAAAGGTTTCGACACGATACAAGTCGATCCAGAAGGCTTCAAATCTCACAAAAACGGGGGCTTGAATTACAGATATTAGAAGCTAAATGCCCTGGTTCGTCGCATATTTCGTGATAATTAAAACCTACTAATATCGGTTAAGAAAGCCAATTAAGGTGACCTGAGAAGGATCTTTAATATTGATAATAGCTAGTTGAAAGGCTTTAGTTAAGGACCTTGGATGTGTAGCAGTTAAAAGAGGTTAAAAATATAGAAGTTGTGTAAACCGGGCTAATAGCTGTCACAAACAGAGCATGCTTTACACAGCAAATATACCCCCCTTATATTCTGTTCACACTACACTTTATAGCGAAGACCGAGGGAACAATGAAGGAGAAAAAAGGGGAAAATAAAAGAAACAAAAAAAAAGAAAAGAGAGAGAGAGAGAGAGAGAGAGAGATGAAAATAGAAGGAAGCAGAAACAGATGCCTGCTAACACAGATTGCCTGGTGATTGGAACATATGGATTCATGGTCTCGTTTCCTGAATACTAGTTCTAGGTTAATTCCTCTTGCAAGGCTTGATGGATCTGCCCGCGGCCCGTATATGGAATCGTTCAGTAGAATGGTGGAATGCAGATGGGACCGTTGTGGCAAAAGGCAACGCCACAGCTGGGGATACGAGACCACTCCATACTTTCTGGTCGCGAACTTGGCCAAACCCTTCCATGCATCTATGCTTTAGCTCTGGGACTCGCACGCATTTATATTTCCAGGGCATGCCGCGCGGAGGTAGAAGAGTCCGTCTTATCTCCCTTTGACATTGTAAGATGCCAATGTGACTACGCTTTGCAATCGAGTGGGCTAGGCACTTCTCGTCTACTTAATTGCTGACGGGCATACTTCGCATGAATACGTCTGTTGATGACGGACGAGAGCCACCCCCGCCAAGCCGGTTGATATCAATCCGATGCCTGATTTCTGAAAGTCGGGCCATGGTATTTAATCTACATCGAATATCAGTACTCGACATGAGATGAGATAAATAGTACGGCTAATGGGACCGATTTACAGACAAAACAGTCAAGTTCCGGTGCAGAGTTGTAGGTCAAGACCCATCATATATACCTTGCTCCTCCTCTTTGCAACGGCCAAACGCAACGCGTCGCGAGTGAAACTAGCATCCTGTGAAAATTCCTATCGAACCAAATAGAATTATTCCACTACCAAAAACCGGAAATTGATTCCCCAGACGGTGAAGCAATTTGGCCGGCCACTCGCACACTCGCATGTGAATGCCCGAGTCCGTTAAGAGGCAAAGTCTCGGAGCCGAAATACCGTGCCTACTCCAGAGGCAACAAGTAGCAGAAGAGTCGAGAGGAGTCACTGACTACATGTCCAAGGGTGAGCGGGATGATACCGGGGCACAGCCACGGCGGAACCAACGGCTATCGGGAGAAGGATCCGGCAAAACGGCACTTGGCGCCGATACGCCCGATATCCAGCTTACAAGTGTCTCTGAGGCTTTCTTGGACGGGCCCTCGGACCGAGTTGACGAGGCGCAGCCGCTCAAGGTTCAACGCCGACGGCTCATTAATACGCCGCAACACCAACTCGATGAGTCGATGGCACCTCGCTTAGAGGGTCAAATTGGCTGATGTAATGCCCACCGCTTGCCTGTCCAATGGATAATTCGGCACGGCACGTGTGCATGAATTGGCTTCACGAGCCAAAGTCCAGCATTGGCTCCGTCACAAGCCACCGCGGGCCGGTCCTAACCAACCCTCGGGGGTTTTCCTGTCGAAGGCATCGACTAAAGAGTTAGTTCAGGTGATTGAGCCCAAAAGAGCAGGTCAAAGGTGTTTACCCCCGCTTTATTGGCCTCCGACGTTAATACGGGAGGAGCGAGAGCTGGGCTTTTATATCCCCGTCTGCGCTACATAACTTGCCACGTACAGTCAGCCAGTTCTTGTCCACTTCGTCCGTTCTTTGCTGGAAATCATGTACATGTATGCTGGAACCGTAGCCCTGTCGCTGCTGGGCGGCGGGCTGGCGCAAGACGGCGAGGGCTGGTACGAGGCTCACCCCGGCATGGCGCGGATCCGGCGGGTGAACCAGGACACGCACCAGATTGTGGACGAGTTTGGCCGCACGCGCTTCTTCCACGGGACCAATGTCGTCATGAAGGAGCCGCCGTGGCACCGGCCGGCCGAGTGGGTGCCCGGCGTGTCGTCGTTTGGCGAGCAAGACGTCCGGAACATGCACGACCTGGGCCTCAACGTGGTGCGGCTCGGCCACAGCTGGGCCGGCGCCGAGCCCGCGCGAGGCGAGTACAACGAGACGTTTCTGGACATTATGAAGCAGCAGACCAGGCTGGCCGAGGAGCACGGCATCTACGTGCTGGTCGACGTGCACCAGGACGTGCTGGCGCGGCAGCTGTGCGGCCACGGCGTGCCCGATGTAAGTGACGAGTACGTCGTGACTTCATGGTAAAGATATGGCTGACGGCGGCGCGGCAGTGGTTCGTCAAGAAGGACTGGGTGCCCGGCTGGGAGATGTATCCCTTCCCGCTCAAGCTGCCGCCCTTGCCCGTGGACAAGGACGGCTTCCCGTCGCCGGCGTCGCTCTGCGGCAGCGTCGACTGGTCGCTGAGCTACACGTCGGTGGCCGTGGGCAACGCCTTTGGCCGGCTGTACAACAACTTTGACGGGCTGGGCGACGCCTTTGCCGCCTACTGGAGGAGGCTGGCGTCGGGCTATGCGGCCACGGCCAACGTCGTCGGCTACAACCTGCTCAACGAGCCGTGGGTTGGCGATACCTGGGCCGACCCGACGCTGCTGGTGCCGGGCGTCGCCGACCACAAGGTCCTCGAAGGGCTCTGGAACCGCGCCGCGAGGCAGATCCGGACCGTCGACAATAACACCCTCATCTGGTTCGAGGGCGCCACGCTCGACATCCTGTCGGGCTTCGACAACGTGCCGCTCGGCGACGGCGCCAAGTCGGTTCACTCGTTTCACTACTATAAGCCGCCGCAGCTCGGCTCCATCTCTGCCACGCTCGACAACCGCCGCAAGGACAGCGAGCGCCTCCGGACCGCCGGCGTGCTGACCGAGCTGACCTTTTGGACGGGCGACGACAGGCAAATGCAGGACCTGGCCGACGCCATGACGGCCACCGACGCCGCCATGGTCTCGTGGATCGGCTGGGCCTACGAGAACCTGTACAACGGCACCTCGGGCCAGGCCTATCCCGAGCTGGCCAAGCATTACGCCCGTGCCTATCCCGCTGCCGTCGCCGGTATCCCCAAGAGCTTCGACTTCGACGAGAAATCCGCCACCTTCAAGCTGCAGTTCACGGCCGATCCGAGCATCGACGCGCCCACCGAGATCATCCTGCCCCCGTCCACCTTCTCCAACGGATACACCGTCCAGGTTTCTCCCGAGGGCAGCTTGCTGCAGCACGCACCTGACAAGCGTACCCTGGCCTTGTTCACTTCCCCGCGAGTCAAAAATGCCACTGACGTTTCTGTCACAATCACCCGTGACTAAAGCCCGTGTCTATTTCATCTCCAGACCTGGCTATTTGCCGGTACTCGTACTGTAGAAGAACACAACTAATACAAGAAGCATCCTCTTTGCCCAGTGGCTGGGCTATGGGACTAACACCAATACCATGTTATTATATTAACTGATAGTGTTATGTAAAGTTGGCCAATAATGCCCCGTGGCTTCTTATACACCTACATCTGGTGATCGAGCACAATAGCATTTTGCCAATTATGCCAGGAGCCCATTCCTCATTAAGGTGATGAGACAATAAAAGAGCCTACTCGCATTAATATATTGCTTACAATCAAGTTTCATTATGCGGCTTCCGGGCTCCTTGGCTTCGTGGGATCAGTTGGCCACCCGACTCCCGCTAACATGGAATCATGCCACTTTCGCATCTGGGCTCGCTACGCGTTCGATAATTTTATATTCAACCTTTTTCTTTCTTTTTCTTTTTGTTTTATTTTTTTATTTTTTTTATTTTTTCGGAATCTAGCAGGCGCTAGCTGCACCCCTAATTACCTAAGGCTCTATAACTATTATTTATACATCTTGTAATAATAATTTACTTTTTAAAAGGTATAATAGTTTAGCTTTAATAGGGTGGTAGCGCGAGCCTTCTTTTAAGGCTTTTCATATAATTAAAAAGCAGCTATTTAAGGCGTTTTAAGGCTTATTAGGGTCCCTAATAAATAGCAGCTATTTTCTATTAAAAGAGGCCTTTAGCGTTAATATACTCTTATAAATTAGGTTAATAGTTAGCTATTAAAGCTATTAATAGCTATTAAGGTAAGCTAGATTAGTTAATTTAAGCTCTTTTAATAATACTAATAATATTAATAAGCTTTAATTACTTAATAAAGCGGTTAAATTATTAGCCTATTAGAATCTTTATTAATTTATTAGTTAAATTATTAGCGCTTTAAATAAATTTAATATTAAAGGTCTCTTATTAATAGGCTTATTAAATCTAGCTATTATAAATATTAATATAATAAAAAGCGGTTTTAAGCCTTAAAAGATTACTATTAATAAGCTAGATCGTTTATAAATTATTATATTATATTATAGGCTTTAAATAATTTAATTATAGGTTTAACTATTAAAAAAGCCTAAATATTATGATAGTCTCTTTAGCTATATATACAAAAGCTAATAATTTAGCTTTAATAGACAATATTATAACTATATTTTACTTATTAGCTATTTAATTAATAGGTTTATTAAATAGTTAAATTATTAAGCCTTATAATAACTTTTAAGTCTATTAGTTATTTATAAAGGTAATATTAAAAGCTATTTAAAGCTTTAAGTTATTAGGATTTTCATTAAATTTAATTGCTAGGTATTACGTTAAATATAAGTACTTAATAACTTAATTAATAACCTATTAGTAGGTTTTTTACGAATTAAAGAGGAATTTAGCTAGCTTAGCTATTAGTTTAGCTATATTAGGTCTTTTAATAACCGTAATATAATTAATAGAGCTAATTATCTGCTAATATTAATGAATTTAATTAGTAATTATAATACTAAGATTAGGTTTTAATTGATTTTTAGGTATTAAACTTTCTTTAAAGCTATCTCTTTTAGGAATATTAAACTTTATAGCTAATTTGTAATATAAAAATCCTAATATAGCTAAAGCTTATAAGTAGCCTTATCTTAAAGGACTTAAATACCTAGAAACTATTATAGCTCACTAAGGTCCTTTATATTATAGGTTAATTTAAGCTTTTAAATTATCTAATTAGCGGCTTTAAAAGCTACTTAATAGTATAAAAAGACGATATTATTAACGTAAAAAAAGACTATTAATATTAGGCTATTAAAGATATAAGAGTCTTCTAAATAAGGTATTAGACCTAGCATCTTAAAGGTTTTACTAAGAGACTATTACTATAATAAGGCTAACCTTTATAGC